CAATGAACGGACACACGGTTTTTGGAATAGTCAAGAACGAGAGGAACATATTAATTTTCTCGAGTAAGAACGACTCAAAAAATAATTGCCGAGAAGGCAGAAGGAGTTTTAATTGTACCCTTTTGGCCTACACAGTCGTGGTATCCTCTGTTTACAAAATTACTTGTAGCAGAATCGATTATTTTTACTCCAAAAACGATCTATTAATTGATAATTGCAGACAGCGTCATCCGTTACGAGCGTCACTTTCCCTGGTTGTCGGGAGGTTATCGGGCAAGCGTTTAGCTTAAAAGGCGTTCCTCAGGATTCCATACCAGTGATGATGGCGTCACTATCGGAGGGAACGATTAAACAATATCGGAAACCATTAAACTTATGGTGGAAATTTTGCCGAGAGAAAAAGATCTGCCCTTTTCAGGCTCAGACAGCAAGAATTCTCGAATTTTTAACGCATTGTTTAAAGCAAGTTAAAACATACGGCACTCTAAATTCATTCAGATCAGCTGTAGCGTTAATCGTTAGAGAAGAGATAGGGCAAGATCCGATTATTAAAAGATTCTTTCGCGGTACGGCTCATTTACGGCCTCAGAATCCGAAATATGAGGAAATCTGGAATCCAGACCCAGTGTTGTGTTATTTGAAAACGCTTTGGCCCCACGACACATTATCGCTTGAACTCTTAACTAAAAAATTAGTCATGTTGTTGGCTCTAGCTACAGCTCAAAGAGTACAAACACTTACAAAAATAAAAATAAGTAATATTAAAAAAGTTGAAACAGAAATAAGAATAAAAATAACAGATCAAATAAAAACATCAGGTCCAGGAAAGTCCCAGCCGTTGTTTCTACTGCCGTTCTTCAAGGAACAACCACGGTTATGTGTGGCAACGCTTTTATATCAATATATAGAACTCACGGCACATATAAGAGCCGAGAATCAAGATATACTGTTGCTGACGCATAAAAAACCGCATCGGGCGGCGACAACACAGTCAATTAGTAGATGGATTAAAAGCATAATGGCCAAAAGTGGGATAGAAGTAGACATCTTTGGCTCACATAGCACAAGACATGCGGCTACGTCGGCGGCATTTCGAAGAGGTATAGATATTGATACGATTCGGAAAGCCGCAAGCTGGACGGCGAAATCGAACGTGTTTGCACGATTTTATAATTGGCCCGTTATGGATAATATGAGTGTAGCAAATGCTGTTATTAATCCAGTCACTTAAGTCTGTTACCAAAGCGTATTATTAGTCGGAGTTGTCATGGAGATACCGGACCGCCCTCTATAGCCGGGGCGCAAGTTTTAATCGGGATTTGAAAACTGTGGCGAATCGAGCAACTGACGTTACTACGCATTTGTCTATTCGGTCAAGACGCCTAGCATAATCACGATCGAACATCACTTAGGTAAGTTCGTTTGATCGTATAATTATCACATATTATTTGTTTTTCGATCTGTATCTGATGTTGTTTTCCAGCTTCATTTTTTCTTTGTATACGTTTTCCACGTGCATCTACTCTTTTATATTCCACTACGCTTAAAGATGTAACATTTTTTAAAATGCCACAAGTACAATCTTGTGGATGCATTTTGCTTTATAATATTTATGTCGTAATCTGATAATTTTTTGTTACATAATTCTTTATTTTTAGGACATGTATAAAATTTTTTCAATTTCTCACACTCACGCCTTTCGTCTAAAGCGTAATATTTACATGTTTCCTCACGCTCATCGGGTGCCGACGCCCAACTGCGAGCGCTCTTTACAGCCAGCGGCCAGGAAGGCCAGCGTATCGCGAGAGGCCTCGCCGCCGAGAGGATTGAATGGCGCTTCAATCCTCCGGCGGCCCCCAATTTCGGTGGACTCTGGGAGGCGGCTGTCAAGGCGGCGAAGCACCACATCCGGCGCGTCATCGGCGACGCGAAGCTAACATACGAGGAGATGGCCACTCTGTTAGCCCAAATCGAATTGTGCCTAAACTCGCGTCCGCTACAAGCCTTGTCCGACGACCCGGAGGACCTGGAGGCCCTTACCCCCGGCCACTTCCTCGTCGGCACAGCACTCAACGCCGTCCCGGAACCATCCCTCGCGTTAGAACCTACAGCGAGACTATCCCGGTGGCAGCATCTGCAGCAGCTGCGGGACCATTTCTGGAGCCGGTGGTCCCGGGAGTATCTCCATTCGCTGACGCACCGTCCGAAATGGTGCAACGCCGACGAGGAAGTCCGAGAAGGCCGGTTGTGCCTCCTAAGCAGCGAAACAACGCCGCCAAATAAGTGGCCCCTCGCCAGGGTCGACAGCGTGCACCCCGGGGAGGACGGGGTCGTCCGGGTCGTCGTCGTGCGCACCGCCTCCTCTAGTTTCAAACGACCACTGTCGAAGATTATCCTCCTCCCGATCAGCACGGCACCGGCGGACGACGCGTAACAAAAAAAAAGCGGGTAAATGCGAGTTACGCGAGACTCGCACATACACTTTACACCGCACATTTCACCTCACAATACGCCTACACGCCACACACACACTCCACTCCACACTCAGAAACTAAAAGACACACCGGACATCGCACAATTAACAGTCACGAAACGGTCTCCGTAAAGTCGTTCAGCACGCTCGATTACTGCGATTATCTATCGAGGCGGTGAATGAAACGCGCATTCCTGAGCGCCATACCGCACCCCGCCGGCCGCTCGCCCGACTCAGCGCCACGCTCGCGCCGCGTGATCAAGCGTCGACTACAGCGGTGTATAGCCAGCAAGCGCTAAGACGCGGTTAATTTTGTATGTTGCATCATACAAGGCGGGCGGAATGTTCAAAATCGAACTCCAATAAAGCGCCGATTAATCGCGCTCGAAATTCGGCGCGTCAGCCGCCATCTCGCGCGTCGCACGGCGCGCGACAAATAGGAGCGCGTTCCAAAAGCGGCGCTACGCGAATCGCGCCCGGCCCGCGGCATCGCTCGTGCCTATCGATGCGGGCCACGCAGCGGTCACCCGAGAGAGCCGAAATTAATAACAAATTGACTGCTTTTTTTTTCAAAACACTATCGTGTCCATTTCACGCGATCCTTTCCTGTGCTTTTCGGAAAAAAGGCGAGCTTAGAAGAGATCCCACGCTGTAGTGATCTGAAATGGAAATGGAAGAGTCAATTTTAGCTCAGCACGAGCTTTTCAGTCGTATTGCGCGCACGTACGACAATTTGAAAAAGGCAGGGCAAGCCAAAATTAATAAGGGGCTCGTAGCGATCACACTAAAGCTGTTGGACGCCAAATGGGCTAAATTCGAAGAGCAGCACGAAGAACTTCGGGCCGATTACGGAGCGGAACTTAGGAACCACGAATACCTGACGAAGGACTTCCTGGCTAAGGCGGAGGAAGTCTACGTAGACCAACGCGCGGCGGTCCTTGAGCTGGAGGAAGCGCTCACAAGGCCAACGCCTCAGTCGCCTGGCTCGGGACGCGCCGGGGACGAAACACGATCAGCATCCCGCACGACGCTACCACGGATCCAGCTTTCCCAGTTCTCCGGGAAGTACGAAGAGTGGCCCGCGTTCCGCGATTTATTCCTATCGATAATCGGAAG